GCTGAATTGCACAAAACGCATGATCGCACCGGCTAGCCTGGTGCGCGTTGCCATTTATTTGTTTTATTTGGGTCTTCTATAAATCATTAAGGCGGATCTGGGGCGGTCTCCTGGGACGGAAGGCGGGGAGGGACGAGGGGGGGGAGGGGTGCGAAAAAGATTTTTTTTAGTTTTAGCTTCAGACCTAGACTTTTGTAGCTTTGGTGTCTAGACTTATCGCTCCCCTCGCCCTTCCGGATCTCCTATATCTGTAAGCCATAATCTGGTACCATAACTGTTCTTAAATCATTTTCACCAATTCTCTTTCCCTTGGTTGTCATGATTTTGACGTTCAGTTTACCTCTTGAACGGATTTTCTTCCAACAAAAACAATTATCAGGGCCATAGTGGTTTGGCGATATCACTGTTGTGTTTTGGGTAGTACCACATCTGAAAATTACTACTGTTTTTCTATGAGGAGGTACTTAACCAGCTAGGAAATTTTTGTTTGAAACTATGGATTCATAGGATGAAAATGACCGGTTGAAAGCAATTACAGCGCACGAACGTACCAGGCATGAAAGCCTTGGTTTTTCTGTATTTTTACCATTCAGCTAATTTTTCTCGGCCTTTTCTGTCATGCCTGGAACCTACTAACGACTGAGTCGCAGAGCTTTTTTAAAAGAAATTTTCCAGATTTATCGTGGTGCAGCAGTGTACGGAGCGAAAGAGAAGAAAGATACGGTTTGGGGAAATGCCTCATCGGGGCTGAATCGATTTGGCCCGATCAGGGCACCTGGTTTTGTGCGCCAGTCAGTAAGATGGGATTTTGCTCCGGATATTTGCAAGGATTATAAGGAGACTGGCTTCTGTACTTTTGGGGGTTAGTTGAAATTTTACGATTTTATCGTTTTTTTGCTCAAATTTTTGAACATTTTTTGGCTCTTTTTAAGCCATTATTGCAGTTTGCATGCTTTTTTTTTCTGAGCAGATTGTAGCAACCAGGTTGATTCTGGAAGCCTGAATGGCGAAGGCGCAAAAGATTACAATATGAGAGAAGGATATAAGAGCGAGATAAGACTTTAGGACTACTAGTGCTAGTTCCAAAAAAAACCTCATTAAAATTGGCACAAAATTGGTACATTGAGTCTTTGATTCACATTTATTGGTTTTGACATTCTTTACGCATTCGCATCGACATTTGCGTGACACCGTACAGCAATATTTGATAGGGTCACATGTATTAATTTTGACATTTTTTCCTCGCGCTTACTGTTAAGTTATAACGTATGCAGTACCAGTTTACCGTTGAAACAAAAGAAATAGGAATCTTAGAAGGACTGTTTATCCCTGCAAGGAACTTGAATTCGCGAGCTACCTGTCGTACTGCTTCATATTCGTCGGCAAAGAGAAATAATCGGTTTTGAAATTGTTTTAATAAAGGGTAGTTTTTCGCCCCAAATGACTTGTGTATTTTATAGATTCATGCAAATTCTTACACGATCGAACCGATTACAAGCATGGCTGGGAGATTGAACGGGATTATGAGGCTGGCAGACTGAAAGAAGATGATCCGGACAAGTACCTCATAAGTAGCGATGAAGAAGAGGAGGCAAATGATCTACCATACAAATGCTTCATTTGTCGCCAATCTTTTGTGAATCCAGTTGTCACGAAGTAAGACTTTTTCCAGTTATTACTATGAATTCGCAAAATTTTAGGCAGCTTATTGGGTTATTTTTTCTCAGAAGACGAAAAAGTTGCGTTTATTTTTGTTCAGAAATACCAAGTGCGTTTTTTATTTTTGTTGTTCTACTTTAGCACTGGGAATACCTGGAACAGCTACTTATAGTTAAGTGTTGTAGAAATTTTAAAAATACAAACAACGAATATTCCTGGCTAGAAGATTTGAGAAGGACCGGGGCTTGAAGTCTTTTATGTGTTAACATATGCAATTTATTTGGCGCTGTTGGCCCACCGTGAAGAGCAGCCCCTTGCTGAGGGATGTTTTGATAATCTTATATTTCAGATGCAAGCATTATTTTTGTGAAAAATGCGCTCTGGGACATTTTCAGAAGACGCCAAAATGCTACATCTGTGATCAGAATACACTGGGTGTTTTTAATGTTGCGAAAGGTATAGTCCATATATTTTGAATGCTTGGCTTAGCTGTAATAATTCTGGTCCACTAGTTGTACAACTAGAAACTTTTCCAGCTCCTCTGTCCAGCTTTAGATCATCTGGTGCTATGAAATTTCCGATTTTTATGCGTTCTGGGCTGCGCAACAGCTACACGAAACGCATATTGTCACGGGGTTGTCTGTGTATGTGTGCATGTTTGTGTATGTGTGTGTCTGTGTGTCCAATGCATCTGATTTTGTTTTTTATTATAACTGAGAAAATCCACAAGTATGTGTGGTGCATTGGCAAGTGCTGCTAGTCTCATGATGAAGCAGGAAGGTTGAACTCCACTAATGGGACAAAGAGTCGCTCTATATTCATTCGTTTTAGTGGTAAATTGTTAATGACTCTCTCTTGTTAGAGAGTGGAAACCTTCATCATCTTACTTCTAAGCAAACCTTGAAAAACGGAGCCATCGATATCTTGCCAGCGGGTGATTGTTGCTGAAACATGCAACCATTCGAGCCATTTTGGAGAAAAATATAGAGGGTATTTTGAGGGAAAATATATAAAAGGTATCTCAAGTTTATTGAGAAGATTCACTGGTAATAATAATAATAATAATAATAATAATAATAATAATAATAATAATAATAAT